TTACCTTTCAAACTTCTTCAAAAATATTGTCTTTATATCAGTTATACATGTTTATTATATAAAAAAAATACAATCGCAGGCCTTGATGTAGAGAAGAAAACGTAAATTCTCTCTATCTTCAACTAAATCGAAATGCAAAAAAAATGTAAAATTATTATGTATTTCAAAACGCGTAAATTGCAATTTGCTGTATGCTAACAAATATGTTTACTACTGTAAACTTGATTGATATTCAGTTCTGTGCTATTAAGAAAGGAAACACACACATACGGGTTCCGTTCCGTTTCGCAAAATACCAATATCCACTACAATATTAGTACTTTGCGAAACGAAACGGAACTATAATATGAAGGGTTTTAAAACCCTGTTAATGAACGACGTGAGATAAGTTTTGTGCCTTGTAAGGATTTGCATTTAAAAATCATGCTCAGCAAGAAAATTAATTTAACAACAGTCCTAAAAATTTCTGTTTTCTTTACATACAATCAAACAAAAAGTTTTGTTATGTTTTCATTTTCTGTAAATAAATTAAACACCATTTATATTTGAAAAGAAGCTTTCATAAATCCTGGGTAAATCTAAATATTCCAAAATTAGCTTACCTGAAAGAAGAAGTCATTTTTATTAAAGAAAAATATGACATTCATGTAACAACTTAATTCTTCATATATTTATTTTATTGTGTTTCAATTTTGATGAGATTCGTTTAGTTCCGCTGAATACTAATTTCTGTATGTAGTGACTGACCATGTGAACTGTATTGAAAGGAAGACGTATACTGTACATCTATCATTGATGTAAAAATTTATTAATGCTTTTATATCAGTTTATTATCAAAATATAAAAAGAATATCGTTCATGTGCTGAATCTAAAGGTAAAGAGAGTTGTTGCGCTTTGCCAGTGTGGTTATTCTCTGGTTCCGTTTCGTTCCGCTAAATACCAATACCCGTGTGGATATTGGTATTTAGCGGAACGGAACGGAACAAGGTACTGAATGTGTGCATATAAGTAAAACCCATCAGCCACACAATTCTAAATTTATAGGACCCAACACAGTGCTGTGATTTTTCTTATTTCTCTTTGATTTTGACATCGTTTTGAATAAGTTGTTCTTATTGACATAATTGTTTTTACAGAAGTGTGTTTCGGCGGTTTTGTATCGTATTGGTGTATTAAAAATCTAAATCACGGCACCGCATTTCATCATGGATCCCGCCGTAATTTCTATTATGGGAAAATAGCATTTGTACAGAATAATGCAGAAATTAGAATATTCAGCGGAACTAAAACGAATCTCATAAAAATTGAAACACATTGAAATAAATATATGAAGAATTAAGTTGTTACATGAATGTCATATTTTTCTTTAATAAAAATGACTTCTTCTTCTTTCAGGTAAACTAAGGAATATTCAGATTTACCCAGGATTTATGAAAGCTTTAAAATTGCCTGTTGAATATTCCGGCAGATTTAGGTTGTTTCTTGTTTTTTCTCTTCAAATGAAAAGATGTGGTTCCGTTTCGTTCCCCAAAGTACCGATACCGGTGTGGATATTGGTAATTTGCGGAACGGAACGGAACAAGATTTGATCATTTTGAAATACTGTTTCTTTCCTCGTTGCGTTTACCACTTTCCCATTTCGAATGCTCGAAAAACTGCCAAAAATTAAGCAAATGCCTTAAAATGTTTACAAAGACTACAAAATTGATTGTGAAATTGAATTGGGATAATTTCAATCCAAATCTTATGTATTTAAAACTTTAATTTGAATTCAAACTTTTGTATTCTTTGATAAAACCTTGGGTTTTTTTTACCGTGCGCCGTAGGACAATACCTCGTGCACATTCAAGCATAATAAAATCTTTATTTTTGCCTACATTTTATCAAAAAAATTATTATGCACTTAAATATGATAAATAAACATTTACTGAAATTTTCAGCTTAGTGCGCCTATTACTTTTCGAGAAAAACGCTTTGTCCAGGATTTTACGGGACAACCCTCGTATTGTGCTGGCTATATGATGGATGAATTACTTTCCTCCTCAAACATTCTTGTCTCATATTTTATTTTCCACCTTGAATTTAATTTTTAATACAAGTACTTAAAAAGATTAGATGAAATGAATAACAACAAAATGCTTGTATGTGTATCATCTTATTCCAACTAAACTGACGTGTTTCGTTCCGTTTTGCTAAAGGTATCACACCGGTAATTGTTTTCACTATATAATTCTATATAGAATAAAAAATCGTTAAAAATCAGGTATTTGTTTACATGAAAAAATATTTAGCAGGAGGTGTTAAACATTACCTGTCACATTAGCTGACACCAAAAAACAGGGTACCCACACGGCATTTTCGGACTTTTTCCATCTGCAAACAGGGCTACCCTCAAATCCACGTGTTTTCACTTTGTTTATAAACACCTCGAGTGCATCACAGGAAGTAGCCTCCTATGCCCTGAAAAAAATAGTTCCTGTCAAAAACCTTTATTTATTCACAAAGTGCATAAAATTTACTAGGCACAGGTACCAAAGTTGTAAAAATGGCTTGGAAGAAAATAGAAAAACGCATCAAAAGAAAAGAAAATTAATTTTATATGTATGGACCTACATTTGACTAAGTTCATTTTGATTGGTCAATTACCGGTGTGATACCTTGAAGGACCCTTAAAGGTGTTCGATTTTTTCCATTTCTGCACCTGAGATTCATTAAATAATTGTCCCCAACATCCTTAAGTCTGGTGATCTAAATCCCCTTATTTCTGAAGATATGAAGCATTTATCTCCCTTACTCCAGAGCAGTCAAGAATAACACACAAAGCACTTTGGAAGCAGTTTTTCGTGCATCTTTTGAAGCAGAATCTCATCATTAAAAGAATAAGCTTGGCAACCAATTTTTTATCTGTGGAGAGTATATGCTTTGTTCTTCACAACAAACAAAAGAGAGGTTACAAGTCTTAGACAATTATGTAATTATTACATAACAAAGTTGCATTTTCCCCTTCAAAGAATGAACAAAAATACAGAAATTGTTAAATACTGGGTTGATAATGAAAACTGTATTGGGTCAATTTATGTTCCAAATAAAGCCTGGGTATTTGTCTACAAGCTGCTGTGCAAAAGATTATCTAAATGCTGTGTTGTAACTCAGGGCAGTCTAAATGATATCAGCATCTAGGGAGGTTCTTGACAGCTCCCACACTCCAATAAACTGGCTTTGATGATAAGAAAATGGAGACAACAATTCAGATGTAATTTATTGTTGTGATTTATGTAACTGGCTTTCTCTTAAGACACAAATTAGCCATGAAATTTCAATTTCACATGCATAATTATTCTCTTTTCATGGATTGACTCAGGAATTCCAAAGGTGTTTAATGAATTTCCATGATTTATGCAAGATTACATCTTTTTGTTTCACCAAATTTACATAAAAAATAAAAATTTTAATTTTAAAATATAAATATTTAACATTTCTATGGGTTTGAACACTTTTATATATGACAAAATGCATCACAGAGACCAGTTTCAGGACATCCTCCATGATTCTCTGAGGTGGGTGGGTGTACAAAATCTGCTGACAAAATTTATAGGAGGTGATCTGAGAAGAAAGGTGCACCTTATTAGCTGAATTATAGTTATTCTGATATTTTAATTATGTAAATATGCCAAATTTCTTCATCAGTTAAATTTGCAATTTATTAATATTTCAGTACATTGATATCCTTAATAGATCATGCTCATGTAAGCATCACTGACTGAGACTTAAATCAAAAGTGACAGTCAACACCTACATATAAATGAAAAAATAACAAAAAACAGTCTCTGACAAACTGAAAAAACATCAATGTCAGCTGCGAAAGCATGAATAAAGTCCTGAGAACCACAAGAGGCATGCCATGGTGCTAAGTGACATTCTGCACTACATGTATGATGCATGGTTAGAACTCAGAATAAGTATTATCATGCAGACTCTGACAGTATTTAAGGATTTTTTGGTTATAACCTTCCTTCCTGTGAAAAATTTTTAATGAATATATAATTCTTTATTCAATAACTTTAAGCCATACGGCTCATCAGTTTATATAAACAAATATACATAATGAACGAGAGGTGAGAGTCTGCGGGGGGTGGAACCCCTAGTGTCCATCTGCCTGACTCCCATACTGGTACACCAACAGATATACAATATATTTCAAATTCTCCATTATTATATGAAAAATTATTATAGCATGATATACTCAATAAAACATGAATACATATGAATTATATTATTCGTTATTTCTTGTAACAGATATACAATTATATATTTCCAATTCTCCATTATTACATGAAAAATTATTATAGCATATAGTACATGTATATATATGAATTATATTATTCATTGTTTCTTGTAACAGATATACAATATGCTTCTAATTCTCAATTCTTAAATGAAAAAATACTATTATTATAGTATATAATACATGAATACATATGGATTACCGGTGTGATACCTTGAATACCCACACAGATATTGGTATTGAGCGGAACGAAACGAAACCAGAGAATAACCATACTGGCAAAGTGCGACAACTCTCTTTACCTTTAGACTGCAGATGAAAGATATCCTTTTTAATCTTTTGACAATAAACTTTGAAAGAAAAACATTAATAAATTTGTGCATCATTGATAGGTGTACGTCTCTCATTCAATACAATTCACATAGCCACTTCAGTTGACACAGCAGATCAAAAACTCAACGACAGAATAATTTATGACTTCAGACACTTGACACTTTTTTGGGTGATTCTTAAGATATAAAATGACAGAATAATTTTTTATAAATAACGTATTATATTCATTTTTATTATATACAATATATTAATTTTTATTCCCCCCGCCCCCCTAGGGTGCCCCACAACTGGTTCCGTTCCGTTCCGTTTCGTTCCGCAAAGTACCATTAGCCTGTATTTTATACTTCTTGATGTTCTTGGGATAATCTTTTTGAATTTAAGGATTTGGTTATTTAAATGCGATGGGTCATGTGGATTTTTATCCGAACGGCGGACAATCCCAACCTGGATGCTACCGTAAGTTACTTATAGAAATTGATTTCTCCGATCTGTTAATAATCTCAAGTCCATTCTGTTGTAAGTCATTATCTGCTCCCGTTTCAGTTACGTGCAGCCACTCTCGAGCTTACGAATACTTCACGGAATCCATCCTCTCAAATGAAGCGTTCAGGGCTTGGGAATGCGAGACTCTTGATCAGTGTACATCATTGGAAGGATTAAATACAACCCAGCCACCGGACAACCGGATGGGTTTCTATGTTCATAATCCCAAGGAAAATAAAATGTATTACCTGAGAACAAACAGAGAGGCACCCTTTAACATCCCCCCGGAACCTTAATGTTTATTTTTAAAAATAATTTGCTTATACACTGTAAATATGGAGTATGCATTATAATAGATTAGACATCAATTAACCTCTTTTTATATTTTAGATGCCATATTTCAGTATTCTTGACTGACCTGAATGATATACTGACAGATAGTATAAGTGCACTCTATATCTTATTTTCTTAATAATTTCTTATTTGATATTTCTGTAAATTATCTAATTTATGCATTTTCTATCATTCATGAGTAAATTCAGTTGATTTGATTGTAAAGTGTCTTTCTCTTACTTTTATCATTTGATCTTGGTAATTTACAAATATCAGTTATCAATTTCATTGATGTGACTTGATTATTTATTTTGAAGTTATATAGTTGAATTATTATTTACAGTTAATATGTAGTATACCAGACTCTTTCAAGAAGGATATGGAGATAACGAGCAGTATTCAATCTCAAAGTCCATTAAACAATATACAAAATAAGAGCAGAGCAAACACGGACCTCCGAAACATCAGAGGTGGGATCAGATGCCATGGAGGAGTGAGCATCCCCTGCCGACCGGTCCCCCCCGCCGTGTGCTCGTTGTCATGATCAGGAAATAACGGAAAAAATCCGTCGTCAATTCAGTGTATAAATAATGTACTAACAATTGGTATGAAAAATGTCAGTCAGCATTTGACTCAATGATAAATTGTATATGCTGACATGGTCATTGTATCGACCATAGAACTTATGAAATGATGACTTTAAACGAGTCATCTGAACTGATATCTTAAACTGATATTCTTGTTTCATCAACTTGCTTGTCAATAATTTACCTCGTTTAAGAAATTGTTCATACATAGAGCATGCTCTTGCGTATCGAATCAACTGAGATAGATACAGTGTATACTCCGTATGCAGGTGATGAAGGTATATTGCTGCATAAGTAAGGAAAGTTGACAATAGAAAAGTTAGTCATCACGTTTATCATATAGCTTGGTTGTTAGATTACCATCAGTGTCTTTGTCAAGTAAAATATCCAAATATGAAGCAGAAGTGTCGGACTCTGTGGTATCTTTTATCTCAAGCTCACCAGGATATATCGATTTTAATTGATAATACGTCGTTGATATATCTAAATGTCGAGTTGAAGGCCACAGCAAGTGTTTTCTTCTTTTCACGTATAAGATTTTGCATAAATTCTGCTTCATATGAATATAAAAATAAGTCTGTTAATAACGGAGCGCAATTGTACCCATGGGAATTCCAATAGATTGTTGGAATACCTGTTCTCCAAAAACCACATAGATATTGTCAATCAGAAACCCAAGCATCTTCTTGATGTCAACTTCGGAGTACTTATGTGTGCAATCAGAATCTGTTTTAAGGATTTCCATCCCTAATGGGACCAAATTCCCTACCCTTAAATGTCCATCAAGTACATAATACTCTGATATTATATTAAAGTATTTTAAAAATGAAATGATTGACCGCGAGGAAGTTTTAAAAATTTCAATAATTAAGCAGTAGTTAATCAACAAAGATTGCATTGAAATCTATGGGGAAAAGCGTTTTGTTTTTTGTTTTTTTTTTCAAAATAAAAAAAATTAATACTTTGAATATCAATAAATCCTGCGGTGGAAAAATGCATCGGAACATTAAAAATAGAATGATAATTGAAAACTTTTTTTATCGGTTACAAGTAAAAAATTTGTCCCGATGAAAAATTGTCCGGATACTGAAGCATCCGGATATCTGGGGTCCGGATATCTGAAGGTCCACTGTATTTAAAGTTGAAAAGTCGTAAGTTTTTTTAAAAGCTGTTGATTTTTGTAAAGTCTTGTGATTTCAAATTGTCCAAAAGTTCTTTATAATTTTTAAGTATCCACATCTGATTCACACCACTTCTTGAATATATAGTTGCACAGTACTCTTCAGCTTATTGAGTAAGCCTTGTTCCATAAACAGGTGATTAATTGATAATCATATGTTTTTTTTATCACAGAAAAATGTAACGTGAAATAGTTGCATTGGAAAGTATATATTTATTCAGTAATATTGTACATGCATAATGTTCATTATCGGAATTAATGTTTTTATAATTTATCCAGTCAAGGGGAATAACTTGTATAAGTGATTTCAACTTTACGAAGATAAAAAGAGTTATCTTTCTTGTAATGTGCATATATTCCCTTGCACTTTCAAGCTTACTATAATTGTTTATTCCTATTACAGGGCTATACTATACTATACTATACTACTGTTATTCTACTACTTCATCTGTACATATATTTGTGTCGATCCATCCCTATCAACACTTGAAGTATTTAATAAATGATGAACCCACAAGTGGCGACTTATTCTTTATGAGTTAAGGACCACTATTACACAACATTATAATATAATCAGACTAAAATTACGAAAGACGAATAGGGCCACATAAAAAAATATTTTTATATCGTAATTACGAGATCTTTTCTCGTAATTACGAGATAATTATCTCGTTATTTCGAGAAAAGATCTCGTAATTACGAGAAAAGATCTCGTTATTACGAGTTAAAGACGAATAGGGCCACATAAAAAAATATTTTTATCTCATAATTACGAGAAAAGATCTCGAAAAAACGAGAAAAGATCTCGTTATTACTAGTTAATTATCTCGTTATAACGGGTTAATTATCTCGTTATTACGAGAAAAGATCTCGTAATTACGAGAAAAGATCTCGTTATTACGAGTTAAAGACGAATAGGGCCACATAAAAAAATATTTTTATCTCATAATTACAAGAAAAGATCTCGTAATAACGAGAAAAGATATCGTTATTACGAGTTAATTATCTCGTTATTACGAGAAAAGATCGCGTAATAACGAGAAAAGATCTCGTTATAACGAGTTAATTATCTCGTTATTACGAGTATCAGATAAAATATTACCCTTTCCTACGGAAACGTTTAACCGCCTCGTGTTGTTGTTTTAGAATGCGATATAATGATATAAAAATGTTGTCAAATACAAATACTTAAAGGTTTTGCGATTTAATTATGACGCCTTTCTTTGATGAATAATACTTTTCTGCTTTATTTTAGACGACTTAAACTTTTTGATATATCCAAATTGAATTCCTAAATGTCGCACTTAAATAATGTGTAAAAATTAAGCCGCTAAAATTAAATATCGCAGAAATTAGTGCAATATAACATATATGAAGACTTCGCGAAAACGACAAGATTTAACCAAAGAGGAAATTCAGCAAAAGTCGGACGACTTGTAATATCATATTTATTAATATAACGTATTGCATTGCATCTATGTCTGATTTAAATAAAATAATTCAAATTGTTATAGCACTACTTGCAGGCCCGTAGTGCATATCTAGACAATGCTTTCCTCTTTTTCTGAGTGTGTGCTTTTCTAAGGACTCGTGACACTCTTTGAAAACCTTAGCTATACGCGCCTGATTTTCATTCTCCGAAATAGATTATTTTGAAAAAAAAAAAAAATTTGAAAATAAAAATCTAAAACTTTATGCAATCTTTTTTTTTCAGAATAAACAAAAAGAAACTTGCAGCTTGTAATTCTTTATGAATATGCTTTTTTAAATGAGCTCAAAGAGCTACTTCATAGAATGTATATGATTGTATAAATTAAAACACGAATCTGAATTTACCAAATAAATTAAAACTTGATTGGGAAAACAAATTGTGTCTGTGACAGCACTAACTAATGAGCTTGTGTGTTATCTTTAAATGAAAGAAGAAAAAATGCAAATAATTATATCATTTTATCAATCTACACATAAAGTTAAAATATTATTGTATAATAGAGTATGTGCAGAAGTGTGCCCGATTTTTTCCAATTGAATAAATATATAACTTTCTTGATATTTTGAATTTACAATATTTTGAGGTCATATTTAGATTCCTTCGTAATCTACCTTAACTCTTTACAACTTACAGATTTGTTATGCAATATACACTGAATCCTCACGTCATAGAAATATTACCTTATCATTTCTCCGCAAGCACTTTATAGCGGGGTACCAGTTCCTCTAAAGTTTAGCGTAGATAATATTATTGCATGACATTTTAATTAGAAATTACCTTTATAATTTTCTGAGATTTAAGCAAATATAAAATGGTTGGAATTTGGCAATAAACTGAAGATTAAATGAACTTTTTAAGTGCGTGAAAATGCGTGATTGCGGGGAAACGGTAAATGCGTGATTCTGCATTAAAAATAGGAAATGGTATATGCGTTAAAATGCGAGATTGCGGGGTAGGGGGTTAATTGAAGATATTTGGATATGCATGTATATACTTTTTTCCCAGTTGCTTACCCTTGTCTACATGTATAATATGATTATAACATATATACAGTACATGTATGTATATTCAGCAAATCTCTTCTATTCGTTTTTGTCAATTGCTCTGAGTCTCATTATATGTAAGATCATCTTTGTTCTATCAATTGGATCCTCCTCCTTCTTTTGTTTGTAAATCTGTTTTTTCTTCTCCAGTGGCCTAAATTGGACTGATAGAATTTTGTATCTGGTATAAATCTGATGTTACAAGACGTTCGAATTTTGTTAAATTTTTCTCTTTGATTAAATCGATTCGTCTAAGCGAAGTCTTCATATTCTAGACTAGTATGTTATATTGCATTAATGTCTGCGATATTTAACTTAAGCGGCATAATGTTAACACATTATTTTATGTGCGACATTTAGGAATTCAACTTGGATATATCAAAGTGTATAAGTCGTCTAAATATATCAGAAAAGTATTATTCACCAGAGATTGTTGTCATAATTAAATCGCCAAATCTAAAAGTTATTGTATTTGACAACATTTTTATATCATAATATTGCGTTCAAATACAATAACACGAGGCGGTTATACGTTTCCGTAGTACTTCCACTTCGTTTTGTAAACTTGCTTTAAAAAATATATTTTAAAAAATATCTGCTCGAAAATGACTATGTTTATCTGTTGTGCAAGGAACATATTCTTCTTGTGTAAAAATATTGGCCTCACGTAGCAAACGTTATTTGCGACTAAAAAAAACGACTGTAAAGTTGACAAAAAATCAAAGTTTAACTACACGACTAGGATAAATCATGTGATTAAAACAATCTCATGGGTTGCAAAGGCTCGGGGATAGAAAACACACAACACGTTATATAAATTCATATACCATTGCAAACCATTAGAGATTCTATATTTATTGCTTGGTAATAAAAAAAAAAGGGTATCAAAAAATGACATTCCATACAAGTGCCGGTGCGATGGAGTTACTGTAAATGCATTGAAGAATTTTTCCATCTGCTTTGCTCCTTCTTCTGATATTTCTTTTACTAATTTTATGAATTCCGTAGGTTCATCCATTTTACATTAAGAGAGAGTAGAACAATGAAACGCACCATTTTTTATGGATCTTTTCTCGTAATTACGAGATCTTTTCTCGTTATAACGAGATAATTAACTCGTAATAACGAGATCTTTTCTCGTAATTACGAGATAAAAATATTTTTTATGTGGCCCTATTCGTCTTTCGTATAAAATTGTATTTGGAATTGCATTTTTTAAGTATTTCACAAAAATTTCTATTTTTAGTAACCAAGGCAACATCGTTCATCGAAATCAAAAACCCAAACACAGAATTATGTACCTTAGTGTAATCTACTTGTGTGCCAAGTTATATTGAAATCAGACCAAAACTGTAGGAGGAGTGTCAATCGAAATCAAAAACCGATAAATTGAATTAAGTATCTTAGTGTAGTCTACTTGTGTGCCAAGTTATATTTAAAGCGGACCAAAACTGTAGGAGGAGTAGCATTTTACATGTAAAAGTATTTAATAGAAATTGCTATTTTTAGTAACCACGGCAACACCGTTCATCGAAATCAAAAACCAATATATAGAATCATGTATCTTATTGCAGTCTACTTGTGTGCCAAGTTATATTGAAATCGGATCTAAACTGTAGGAGGAGTAGCATTTTAAGGTCAAGATCTAGTAAATAACTTGAGACTAATTTTTTGGTGCTAGATCCATTATGACGTCATAATCAATTTCAACTTTCTTTTTCCCGTACTTTACGGCTTTAGCAGAATTATGTAGAAAATATGGTATTTTCATGTCATTCAATTTGAAATCATATGAAAAGTAAACCGGATACCTATATTAAATTTGATATTGATTTAAAGAAGAGGCCATGAACATACTAATTACTGTTTTCTGTGAGACTGTAGGCAATCTGAATACATTTCCTTTGCCGAATACGAAAAAAACTCCCATATTCATGACTGGTTTTCTTAATTTTTCATTGAAAATGACAGTTTAAAGTACAGTTTTTCATCTTGTTTACCTACAAATTATGCCCCGAAACACCTTATTTGACCAAGCTAAAGTTGTAAAGCATCAATGAAGGAATTTATTTCTCAAGTTTGATAAATCTGTAGGCACCTTTCATTTACTAGATCTTGACCTTAAATGTATTTCACAGATATTTCTATTTTACCACAACATCAATCATCGACATAAAATGTTTTATTTTTTAATAAATTTAAAATAATTGTTCACAATCGAAACAAAAATATTTTTAAAAATCTTCTGCAAATAGGATTCCCTCAGCTGGTTGAAATTTTGATCTCCATAATGAATATGTTACACTACATGCACCCGATTTCGCTTGATTATAAGGTGTAAATCGTATACACCGGGTGTAGTAAGGTGTAGACGAAACAAGCGCCCAATTAATGGAAAGCGACTCCAAATTTGTTCTATAATGAATTACAAATTCTGGGTGGGGGGAAGGCGGCTTTTGGAAAAAATTAATCTGACCTCGAAAATGTTTCAAATCTATAACCTGCCCTTGACTGGACAAGAAAAATCAATGTACAGTTCAAAACCATTTATACAACAGTTTTGAACTTTGATGTTGTCCTCCTTTTTTTTTTTTGGGGGGGGGGGGGGGGGGTTAGACAGTTTTCAGTTCAGTGAAAATAATCTGTTCTTGATCTTATTGGAAATAACTGATCTGTCCTTCGCTGTCTTGAAGTAAGTGTTTCACGAAGATAGACTGACAGACACACCACTTTTATAAAGTAAAAACAGGGGACCAAGTCAAGGGATAGACTGAAATATTTTATTTAAAACAAATAATGTACCTTTTATTGTACTTTTTATTGTATAACCAATGCTGTACTGTTTAACATACAGTACCACACATACAAATCAAAATAAATAAATGAGCGTATAACATTAAAGCTACATAGTATGAACATAACAGAATAAATATATATTCAAATTGCTTTCCCTCAAAGGGACAGAGAAAATGTACACACATGAAATGTAACAACAAACTACTATCAAAAACAATTTCTTTTTTACAATATGTTGTACATGTATAACATTAATAAAAAGTTTGTAATTTATTTCTAGGAAAATTTGGCTTTTGAATGAAACAGTTCAAACTTTTAGACAATATCTCTGAATATGAGAAACATTTCTACATCCCATGGAGTAAAATAAATAGGTTTAGTGTCTCTCGGACTCTATATTACACTGTAGCTGTATGTTGAATAATACGGCATGAGTTATCTTAATATATGAAATTATAAATATTCAGCTTTCACTTTGATCATATTTTCAGGTTTATAAAGAGATTTCTCTATTCATAGACTATTTCTTTAGTTAAAATTATACTAGTAGTAACGAAAATAAAACGACAGAAACACAAGAAGACTAGATGTCCTTACAAAATGTAAACTGTAAGGCTTTTCATACTGATTCAAGGAATTAACAAAACAATGTTGAAAATATTTAACTGAATTCTTTTTTGTGCCCTGAATAATATATTCTTTAAACTATAAAGAGAAATTTTGATTGAAATATTAAGTTAACTTTCTTTTATTAGTTTACATAATTTATTTACATGTCATACATGTATGCTTGAAATAAGAAGAATGTTGATAAATAAGTAGAAACAAAGGAGTAGTCTGGACTAACACTGGTTCAACACTGTCCAGGATAACAGCAGCTAGGCCTAAACCGGTTCCTCACAGTCAAGAAAACAGCAGCCCGGGCTAAACTGGTTCCTCAGTGTCAAAAGAAATAGCAGCCCGGGGCTTAACTGGTTCCTCATTGTCAAAGGAAACAGCAGTCCGGGTTTATACAGGTTCATCATTGTCCAGGGTATGCACCTTATAGAAATCATTTAAAATGCGCAGGATTTCTCCGATGGCAGTGATGTTATTCTCCATGTCTGCTATCAAGGAATGTATAAAGTCTGTCCCTTCATTTTCTTCTCCGGGCACAGCTAGTAAAGAGATGAACACTTCACGACTAGGCAGGGCTTTCACTGCAACCTGTCAAATATTTGGACATTCATGTAAAGTTTAACTCCTGCTTTTAATAAATTTTTAAACTAGGTTAATTGAACACAAATATAATGAATTCACACTTGCACCAAAGCAAATTTCACACCATGAAGTTTTATAATGTATTTTCATAAACTTAACAGCTTTAAAAAAATGTGTTTATAACTAATCAAAGTTGTTAGTCCTTGAAATTTTTAAAGAAGAGTGCTATATTGTGAATAAAAATTAAAAATATATCTTTTTGAATACATACAAATGGCAGCCTTAGTAAAAGAAAGTATATTTACAGCAAAAACACCCCTGACAACCCATCCATGGTACGGCCTTAGTGATTTACTGTAGGCGTTTCCTGCAGCCAGCGATAGGTCCTGTTGATTGTTCACGATTTCTTGTAGAAATTCCTTGATGAACTCTAATCCTCTGTAAATTGATAATTCTACTTATAAATATTAAACTTAGTCTTAATGTCTCCAGACATAAGACATTTCATGATGCTGACAATTAATTTCCATTGCTGATCATTCCTTGGGACGAACTGGACATGCAAGAATCACTCTGGCATTAGTGGATCAAATGTCAGTTATGAGAAACAGAAGATATAAATCACTTACCTTTTCATCCACAGAAGAGCGACGGTGGCCGAGCTGGACAATCTGTGTTGTTTACAGTCCACCTCAGCCATTACCATCTTCTGCAGTGTGGTGAATGAAGAGGGGTTTGTAGAATATTTTTGCTGTATTTTCTGGAAAAAAATTTCTAAACAGTTTCATTCATGACTCTAAAATACCTTTCAAAAGGAAATTATTAATTCAAAAATTGAAAATGAGGTGTTCGGAAGCAGAGAAAACTATTCTGTGATTAAATTATCCTTACTCTTATATTTCCCTGAAAGTCCATTTTCACTGGGGCAAAGGCAGTGCTGTTTAATTTGTCTACAAAATAAATTAAAACAATGAAGATGCTAATCATTTGTGAAAGCTTATAAGTACATAAGTAACAGTTAATATAATCATTGATTTTATTACATTGTACTTCTGCATAGGTTTTAAAAAACAAAGAAAGTTTAATACAGTATGTAGATATTTTTTTAACTACAAATACACAGAAAATTTTGACATTCTTACCAAATATAGGAACTATGCATCTACAGGCTGACAGGAAATGCTCAATAGGAATTCCACCGTCTGCTTCTAACTGTATATCCATAAAACTGAAAGTATTCCCCAACATTTCTATGTAAGTTAAATTTCTGACATATTTAGGTGAAAGTTGAAACCTCCCAAAATTAAAAGTTCCATAGTTAGGACATAAATTTATTACACACCTGGATTTCATTACAGAGAAAAAGTTTGGAATTCTTTCATCAATGGCATCTTTGAACTCTTCGTCACCATTCTCTAGATTTTCTGTTTGTAAGTTTTGTTCTGTGGCTGGTGATATTTGTTCTGTGTGGGTGTGAGTCTCTGTATGTAGGGGATGTACGTCGTCAGATTTCTCCGTTTGTGACTGGGGTGACCTGGTTGACCTTGACCGAGGGCTGAGTTTGTCGGGGGAACTGTCTGAAACCGTCCGTCTCCTGGAGGAAACTGCAGGGGGATACTTGTCTGACACAGAATAGGATCTAGACTCCTGAACACAAGTATGATAAATCTATTATACACCAGCATGAAATAACATTTGGGTGTTCTTTTTAAACATAAAGGTACTGAGAACTTTCTTTTCACGCATTCTCAATTTATAGTACCAATTCGATCTTGGGAAAAGTCAAAAAATTTAGTGAACTGAAATTAACACTTTTATACGTCATTTGAAACATGAAAGTGTATAGTTATTAAAAATCGCAATTTGATTTACATACTTCATGCTTTGTTTTGTTGGCCTCCTTCGAAATAAAAGTGGTTGGAGGGCAAATTTTTAACCAAGATATTTACGTGATGTTGAAAAGCCATATTTGGAAATGAAAGAATTTTTTTTTAAAATACAAAATCAATATAATACACATCAATTTTGTTAACTATAAACATTTATGAAACCGTTTAAGCACATTTGTAAAAGGGGTGAAGAATCTTTGATTCAATTATTAGTAAAAATAAAACGGATGTAATTTTCATTTATAAAATGAAATTATTTTCTTTTTATTTTAGCAAGTTTTATCACAATCGATGATAAGCTTAATTATGACAATATTCCCTAAAATGCTACATTAATTGATTCTTTATTAATCTGCTCAGAGAAACGCACATTATTTAGAATATAAAAAGGTTAAATATTTCGCCATTACCTGATTACGAAGTGTTTGTTAAATATCACGTAAATATCGCACATAGATATCATACAAAAATAAAAGTATATTCGGGGAAAAAATGATTATATTATTTCAAATTATTGAATTTTATGAATTTTCTTATCTATATATACGCTCTTTACAAAGGGTTGAATTGAAAATTCAAGTTATGATTTATCTATAGAGGACTCATGTAATTCATAACCCCCCCCTTCCACCATTTAATCTGTTGATTATTTCAAAGGCAGCCACGTAGCAGAGAATTTTTTTACTTACCTGAAAAGTTGACAAGGCAAAAAAAAAGGGGGTGAGAAAACTTGCACAAAGTCGAAAATCCTAGAGGGGGAGGGGAGGCGAACTTTTTTCAATGCCAACTACTTTCAGTACCAATTATTATACTACATTTTCCGTACATAACTATTAGTGGGGGAGGGGGACAACCAGCCTTTCACTGAACATTTCCTATAGTTGAAGCAAGTTGGAGAAAAAAGTGGGGGGGGGGCTGCTCTAGCCCCCCACCCTCTGTTGCTACAGGTCTGAAATGTTTAATTGTTTGTGAAAACTTTATCGTCAAATCTCACAAATTAAACAAAGATCGCCCACCACCCTTAAAAGGTTTGTCAATAATTAAGTTGCATATCACATGTGCTCTATAGAGCAATATACATTCTTTGTTCATATAACGTAAATTGAATTTTCAGTACCATTAAAGCATAGATGCATACGTTTTATGTCTAAGCAATTCCAATGGGAAAATTAGGTGCACAATTTTATACATGTTAATATTTGTATTTCTTGCAAAGCAACAAAAATGGAAATGGATTCAATTTCAACCAGTTTCTTGACACCCAACACCCTCTTTTTTTATCCGATGTAGAACCCCCCCCCCCCCCACTGCATGCAACGCAGCGTTTATTTTCTGGTTCCGAATTATATTTCCTACAAAAATGATTTTTTTTCCCTTCAAAATGTTAAGCTTGGTATACAATTCAGGTGTATATAACCATTTTTTTAAGTTGACGATACACTATCATTTCAAACAAACAGCAAAATACAGACTTGAAGAAAGTTTTGTTTCAGATTTACGTTCCGAATGATAACGTGCATTACACTTGAAACTATGCAATATTAACCAACTGCTCAAAATGGAAAGATTCAATCATTAAACCACAATTCTACTTGTGAATAATATTATGTCAGTTCAATTTTCAAATCACACGGATGCACAAGATATTGAGTGAAAAATGTTCACCTTTGCATGTGCACTTCAATTTGCATTTCTGCACTCTTGTTACAGAAAAAAATGACATTTTAAGAAACAGTGTATATTTCTTCATGTTCTTAGTATTTACATCTTAAAGATTCACTCGCAAATCTGTTCAAACAGCTTTGGAAATTAATACTTATTTACTTTAAAACATGGTAACGTAAATATGGGTAACGTAAATATCGGTAACGTAAATATCTTTCTGAGATTTATCGTAACTTTTAATGCCATTGTTCAATTATTCCACTGTTAATTAAAGGCATATTCTAGTGCTTGAGTGTAAGGCAATTTGACCCATAGGGAACAGTGTAGTTCTCTTACTTAATTTGTGAATAAATACTAACACGTAAATATCGTTGAATTTTTTAACCATTGGACTTATAAGAAAAGGGGGGCTATTGTTCATAAATACAGATAAAGAGTGTCCTTTTTTCCATTCCATGCAATAGAAGAGGTGTTCATGATGTTAAAAAGTTACAACTTAGTCCTATTGAGTCAGTTTATCAATCCTTCCAGTCCTTTTGAATTTCCAAATAGAAAAGTAATAATTCTGCGGTGACATCAAAATTTGATAAATATATTAAAACTTTAAAAAAATTGTGAAACGCATATGTGTGAAGGGTGTGATATTCAGAAAATATAACTCAAATGTAGGACAATCTTACTAAGAAAAAGATATGTAAATGATTTAAAACTTGTTTTTGGTTTAAAATAAAAACTACACGATGATCGGCGACAGTAACGTAAATATCGATTTCTGCGATAAAATGTGATTTTCTCCTAAGACAGTCATTCAAACTACAACAAACAATTGTTGCATTTTAATCAACAACCAACAATGGTTCATATGAGTGGCAGAAAATAAAATTTATTTGAAATATTATATTACTTAAAACGCGGTTCATTTTTTAAAGGGAATTGAGACTATAAATTGAGAATGCGTGTTTTATTACTCATTAAGGCCCTGTCTAGTGTACTTTTTGATATTTCAACATATATATATAACGGCAAGTGACAATCATACATGCAATATTCACACTGAGTGAAAGAAAAAATCCAAACATGTGTAAGTACCTTTTTCTGTGGTGTTTTTAATGTTATTAAGGGGAACGGTGAGTCACTGATGTGTTGGTGTGGAGAATCGTACGCAATACTGGCATTAGCAATCTTCATACAGTCCTCCAAAGTAGATATAAATGTATCACAAGTGGCACCTAACAGTGATGTAGCTTCATTCAACTTCTGAAAAAGAAACAGGTTTTGAATTAATTAGAAGTGATATCCATCTTTAGCATTATGATCGAGATACTCTAATACTACCGTTTGTGTACCTACAGTCCCTTTTCTTAAATGCCTACCTTTAGCAATATTCAATTTACTGCCACAATCAGAATTAACACTTTTTTGATAATTGTAGCCTCTTCCCCCTAACCTTATCTTTATTTACTATGTATCTTCCCAATCTCTGGACCATCTTACTTCTATGTCCATTGTGCTGCCCCCCTGGGCTACTGACTTCACTGAATGAACCTGCTGCATCAATAGATCACAGTACAGTCGAAGTTCTGACTTTTTAGTCTTTATTATGTCTGGGGAAACCTCTCCTGTAAAAAAAAAAAAAACAAAATGTGGAAAACCTTTCAAATGTGTATGCAGATCGAATTATGAATATTCTTGAAATGCATTTTCTATCGCAAGTTCTCAATGGCTATAAAGGCAGATGCTTAACTCATCTGTTATAAAATATAATTTCAGGTAATATTGTAAAAGTGTTAACTGTAATTACTGATTTTAAACATTCTTTTGTTTTTACTGAAATTTTATTGCAAAGGACTGCAAAATATATTTCTAGCATAAACAATTTTCTTTCACATTAAGTCTGTTTTTTAACCTGCACTGTCTTTTATTCTTCCATTGGTGAGGGAAGCTTAGGCGGTTCCTAACGACACAAGCCACCTCTGTCTCTCTTGTGGATTTGACGCCCGAAGATAAAAGTGGGACTCTCCAGGAATAATCAAATCTAACCGACATTTGTCTGTTGAATGGACTAGGAAAGAAACAGAAAGTGTTAATAATGTTTACAATGTTTAAACATCTTTTTAAATAATTAAATTATATCAATTTATGTGAGTAAAATTTGGTTTATATAACAGTTTATTGGAACTGTGAATTTACTTCACTTCAGTTATTTGTAATTAAATTGTTACGCAGTTAAACTATACAGATATCATGATTTTTAGAGTATACATGTACATGTACCTACCATTGATATCGCAGACAGCCATTCTGATGGATCCCTTACATCCAAGGTTGACTTCCTCCTCTGATTTATAGTAAGAAAGAATTCCATTGTCCAGAACAAACCAGCGAGGCTGCCAACCTTAAACAAAAAAATAAACATTTACGACTCGTCTTTAATAATAGATGGCTGACACACAGGCACTGGGTATTCTCTTTAGAAAAGTGGACAGGCTATCGCATACATCCGAATATAGTCGATAGCCTGTCCCCTTCTCTAAAGAGAATAAGGCACTAGATAGAAATTTGAATTTCTATAAAATGATTTTTTATGTTAAATTTTCAAATTAATCATGTTAATGGAACAGATTACATCACAAATATGTTCCTGAAAATAACTAATTAAACAAAGAGACTAAAAGGTCCAGGGTAAATGTAATGGTGGTATTGAAGGGTCCTCTCCTCAAGTACCTCCAACAGTCGTCACAAATCTGAGTGGTGTTTTTGAAATCTTGTTAAAAAAGTTATTCATCAATTATCTACAACAAAATCTTTTTTTGTTATTGGACTCTTCGATTTGTTTGATTGTTAACTTTACCTGTCAAGTAATTGGTCCATTTCAGCAGCACTCCTTCCATACTGGGGAAGTCCACACACACCACGTCAAGGCTATGAAAAGGAACACAACATGGTTTCCTCGAATACCATTTTATACCATCGTCAAGTTCTTTGTATTTCTGTATTTAATATTTCATCACATGTATACTGTCTGTACGTCAGTCTGCACACTATTTACAACAGGTGGAACTGGCGTTGGCCTTCACCCTTTCGCGTGGCATAAACTTCCGGTTTATAGTTACAGTTAACTGTGTCGTGAGGTGATTCGACTTTTGATCATTTTGCAAGACCGCGGAACATTAACTGGCAAAATTGGAAATATACAGCTTGCGTCATTTCTATCTGTTACAATCAAAACATTCAGTGATAGACAATGAAATAGGCGGGTACAATTCGACGCGGACGTGGGGAAAACATCGGATTGAAACCACCTCAGCTCTACGCTAGAAGGCATATTATTACTGATTGACCAAGAAGACAAATAATTTGAATTTTGGTACAGTTTGAATTTTTTGTCCAGTGTTTCAAATAAATTAATATTTAAGGGACAAATATTTCATTTCTGAATGGAAAATGTATGTATATGTTTGTGTTGGGGGGGGGCTGAACGATTTTTAAGCGCTAAGCGCAGCGCAAAGCGCTTTCTGTCAGCGTAAATCTTTACTACTTCCGTTCGCGATCCAGCGCCACTCAGCAAGTAAGATAACTCCTTTTGTTTTTCTAGATATATGCAACTGGAAATCCCCGACTGTCTGCTATTTTAGTGTAATGCTGCGTTACGTGCAATTCTAATAATAGGAGGCAATTAGTAAGGTATTCCACAGCTAGTAGATAAGAGCAGTTTAGCTTATCATGCTCTTCTCTTTAATTTACATTGTAGTTCATTTAAATCGTGTAGCACACATTACTTTTGTACCATGTAGCTAACCTATAGCGCAAATACTTAAACACCGCATATTATTTATCATGTACATGTTATATAGTGATTGAATAAGTACTTAATTGAAAACTCAGATGGGATTTAATAAGTTTTTAAATCTCAAACTGGAAAGGATTTAGTCCGTAATAATAAATTTCAAAAATTGATTTATAATATACTACTTACATAATCTGGTGCATGCTACATAACATATCCATATAGACTATTATTATTTCTTCTAGACCCTTATTTAAGGCAGTATAACTAAAACAAGCCTTCCTATTAACACTCTGCACCATGCTGAGAGCTATCAGTGAAGTTGATTTTCGCATCTCAGTATCAATTAGTAACAGACTGGAATGCATTCATGGACTGTCTTTTTTAATTCTATACTTGTGTTGTACGTACTCTTTATTTGTATCATATGGGTAAAAAATATAATTATTATGTTAATAATTCGAAAGGAAAGGCAGTTTATGGCTGTACATACATGTAGGGCATGTGGTAGCTGTGTTTTCAAAGAATGCATTCAAATAGTAAAACTTATTTCTCGGAATATTGTGCTTTAAAATTGTGTATGTAGTGGGCAGGATATTGCGAAAAATGCTAAAACCTTAATTATTGTTATTAACAATGGACAGTTATAGGGCTGATGAAATATTAAGCAAACAGTGTAATACTAAGAAGAAATAGTTCATGTAAAGATGTGCCTCCTCTGTTGCTGATTCTTAATGAAGACTAAATAAAAACAGAATAAAACAATGTTGTATACCTTCGTGAAGATTTATTAATACATGAGATTATTTTGTATTTTTTTTCTTAAACTCTTTAATTATTTATCATTATTTAGCAGAAAATTTATTAGCAATTATTTTCAGTATCCCTTTTCAACTAGCAGAGATAAGTTTTTTTCCTCTCAACATGTTTTGCATGGAGTTAAAATCATACACAAACAAGTAGAGAATGGTGTAAAGCATCAAGCGTCCGTACAAATAAATTATTTCAACAATAGTCAAAAAATACTTTTGGGGGTTTAATGACATATTTTTAATCCAAAGAAGAACTATATATTGTAAAAAAAAAAAAAAAAAGAAGTAATATTTACAAATCAATCACACATACTGTGTTATCAACACAATGTTACTACAAATACGCTATATATCATGTATTTGAAAATCAGAGATTAAATTTTAATGATAGCATCGAAAGATTAATATCTTTATACTCAGCTGTATATTTACATATTACATCTGACAAAAAGGGCGTTAATTCTACGGATGCTCATTTCATTTACGTAGAATTTTTTACCATGACATTGTTACAAACATGATGCCAATCTTCAAATTGAAACACTCGTAAACGCCGAATGAATTTGTTATAAAAATAATCACCAGAAGATTTTAGCTGTCAGCGTTGCACCTACACTGTAAAATAGAGGAATTTCAGGTTTTTAAAATTATTTCAAAATATACATTTTCCAGCAAACGTATAGCTACATTTAGAGTCTTAATTTGATAGGAAAAGTGGATTACATAATGTACATTCTCCCCACCATAAATTGCAATTTATACGCAAATATTACCTCATAGATTCCTACTAGGCGATGGAGAAAGAAAAAAAATTACACAGAGAAATATTTTCTTGCAATTTCTTGTATGTGAAATTGCATTGATTGATCTTTTGACAGATGAAGAAAGTGTAAAATGCTTAAAATAAAAAGACATAAGACAATGTTGAATTTCATATCCCAACAAGAAGTTTCCAGGACTCACATATTTGATTAGACCTGAAATAAAAAATTATTTGTTTGCAGTTGCCTACCGACCCACTGAAAATGCACAAAACCCAAACTTTTTTTTTTTTTACCATTTTGTTATATTATTTTTTTTTTAATTTTCAGGATAATAAAACTGTTTCATTTTAGTTTTTGTTTTTATCAATCTTTGATTTATACAAGAGTGAAGAGTATTCTTCTTTAGTAGGTCTATGAAATACTCTGTTTACTTATTGTCTAACAAATATCCCAAAACTTATTTTTTTAAAACAAGAATGCCTACCTACCTACCCCTCAGAAAATTATAGGTCGGCAACTACAAACACAGCTTGGCCTTATGTACGTATCAAACAACTGTGCTCGCCTAGCGCTCTTGCACAGTCAACATATTGCTTAAAATTTAATACAACAGGAAATTTAAATTCAAAATAATTATGATGAATTTCAAATCAATATGCTTAGCGCTTCCCAGTACTTTCAGTACTTTGATTAAATAAAGTTGTCCAACAGTTTTCAGTGAGAATAAGTATAAAACTCATGCACTCTTACAATCCTAGAAATAAAATATATTGTATCTTTCGCGTTCGTAAAATTATAAGCTAAAACTCATATTATGTAAACTTCAAACAATACTCAGTATGTATTTGGGAGTTATCGATAAAATTGGTTGATTTTTTAGATCATACATTCACTCTTTGCTTTGAAAACAGCTCGGTGGATTAAAATGAATTTTGATCTGCAATTTCAATCCTATGTTTTCCCCCCGTCCGCATCGAATTGT